ATCTGACACCAAGCCATTCTAAGTTTGTTACAAGGCGCTGCTACGTTTATTATAAGGCGATGCTAGGTTTGTTACCAAGATCTTACAATGTCAGTTATACAGAATTGTAGTTGTAGTTATTACAAAAAATCATTAGGGTTTATTGCCTGTAGATAAGGTCTGCTATGTTTGTTCCCAGGCAGTGCTAAGCTTGTTACCTGCTAGATTTGTTATCAGACATCGCTAGGTTTGTTACCAGTCACAGCTTGATTTGTTACCAGATACTGCTAAGTTTATTATAAAGCGCAGATAGTTTTGTTACCAGGCACAGCTTGATTTGTTACCAGATACTGCTAAGTTTATTATAAAGCGCGGATAGTTTTGTTACCAGGCACTGAGAAGTTTGTTATCAGGAACTATGAGGTATGTTATTAAGGACAACTACATTTGTTAAAAAGATAAACTGTTTTTTTCCCATCAAGTTCTGCAGAATTTGTTAGAAGGAACTGACAGGTTTTCCTATCAAGTGCTCCTAGATTTATTAGAAAGATATGTTAGATTTTCCTATCAAGTACGGCTGGATTTGTTAGAAGGATCTTTTAGATTTTCTTAAAAAGTAGTGCTAGATTTTTTAAAAGAATCTACTTGGTGTTCCTATCAAAGGCTGCTATATTTGTTAAAAGGATCTGCTAGGTTTTTCCTATAAAGTGATCTCACATTTGTTAGAAAGATCTACTAAGTTTCCTATCAAGTGCTGCTGGATTTGTTAGAATATTCTAAAAAGTATTAAAAGGTCTTTAAAAATATCTGCTCGATTTTTCTATCAAGTGCTGCTAGTTTTTATTTAGAAATATCTGCAGCACTTTTCTATTAAGTGTTGCTAGATTTGTTAGAGATATTTACTACCTTTACCTACCAAGTGCAGCTAGATTTTTTTTATTATGCCAGATTTTCCTATAAAGTGCTGCTAGATTTATCATGAGGATCTAATAGAATTTTCTACCAAGTGCTGTTAGAATTTTAAAAATATCTGTAAGGTTTTCCTATCATGTGCTGCTAGATGTGTTAAAACGGTCTACTAGATTTTCCTGTAAAATGTTGTTAGGTTTCTTAGAAAGGTATGCTAGACTTTCCTAACAATTGCTGCTAGTTTTCCTATAGAGTGCTGTTAGATTTGTTGGAAAGATGTACTATGTACTTCATTTTCCTATAAGGTGCTGCTAGATGTGTTAAAAAGGTATATTACATTTACCTGTAAAGTGCTGCTAGATTTCTTACAAGAAACTCCTAGGTTTTCCTAACAAATGCTGTTAGATTTGTTAGAAGGATCAGCCCAGGTTTTCCTAACAAATGCTGTTAGATTTGTTAGAAGGATCAGCCAGGTTTTCCTATCAAATGCTGCTAGATTTTTTAAAAGGATCTGCTAGATTTTTTCTATCAAGTGTTGTACGATTTATTAGAAGGATTTAGTAGATTTTTCTATGAAGTACTTCTAGATTTGCTAGAAAGGTCTCCTAGGTTTTCCTTAGAAGTACTGCTAGATTTTTTTATAAAGATGTGCTAGGTTTTCCTACCAAGTTCTACTAGGCTTTACATGCTTCTCCTTCTGAATCAGCAATAAAAATATCACTAGATTTGATAGCAAGACTTGATGAGGTTTTTTAATATATGTTGCCATATCTATTTCCGAGGCACTATACGAAATTTAAAAAAAAAATCTTTTCGAATATAAGTTAATTGTCACCGTAACCTATACCCCAACTTTACGTTTAAAGTTAATAACTCGAGCAAATTTTGAAAGTAAAATGTATACAGAAAGATAATGATTAAATTCATCAAGACAAAAGCCCAACTGTCTTGCTTTAATTGATTTAGTTCCATATTCCACATTACACCAAAATCAAGAGTGCGAGTTCCTTTTACATGTCACCAAGTTATTTTGCACGTATGTGATTAATATTTTCATACAATATGTACTACCGCATGGTCCCCGAAAGTGTTCTGTTTCAAGAATAAATAAAAGCAAAATTAATAATAACAAATATTTTTATTTCTTACTTTTCAAGTCATACTGTGTTGTAGCCTACAGTGTGCTTAATTATTCTCGTGATTCATGGCATGCGCACGTTTTAATGACGTTATGACAGTACAAATTGCAACGTTAAGCGTCCATTGTGTGACGTTATTTTAGTGTCTTACTGACTGATTGACAACATACTACAGTGGAGTGGTGCGAGTGGTTAAAACAGGTGACCCCTACAGGCGGTCTTCGGCCCCCTTTGGGGGAAATATTTTCTGACCTAAAGTACCATATTTAATAACCAGAAATGGTCTGTTTTACTCCTCAAGCATTATATGCTATTTCATGAAAATGCAAATATCTTTAGTGATAGTTTACTTCATTAACTGCTTTTGATAAAAAGAACAAAACAAAGACCTACAGTCGCTAAAACAATACACAATAACATGAAGTACTTTACAATACAAACCATTCAATCTGTTCGTATAAAAATTCAGAGTATTGTGGTGTATTAGATACTAAACTCAGGTCATATATAGGCGACCAAAGTCTGAGGATAACATATTTCATATCTTTCAATAGATATATTTCTAAATAAAAAATAACGTTACATTTCCTTAGTCTTGTTAGTACAATTTCATACGTGTGAAGAGTGATTACAGTTTATATATACATACATATATATTGTTACGTCTCTGTTCGTTT